CTGGGCCAGGCCCAGCGGGGTCTGGGCCCTGACATGCCCATCTCTGCTATATCTTTTCAGGAAATCAGTGTGCTGAGGGGCCAAGTGGGAGGGTGGGGAAGTGACCTGGGCCAGGCCCAGCGGGGTCTGGGCCCTGACATGCCCATCTCTGCTGTATCTTTTCAGGAAATCAGTGTGCTGAGGGGCCAAGTGGGAGGCCAGGTCAGTGTGGAGGTGGATTCGGCTCCGGGCACCGATCTCGCCAAGATCCTGAGTGACATGCGAAGCCAATACGAGGTCATGGCCGAGCAGAACCGGAAGGATGCTGAAGCCTGGTTCACCAGCCGGGTACGCAGAGGGAAGCAGGCACCCTTTGGGGGTTGGCAAGGGGAGGGCTTCGTGTTCCCTACGTGAAGGTCTGCCTCAGTGCTTATTTCCTCTTCCTCCTCTCTATGCAGACTGAAGAATTGAACCGGGAGGTGGCTGGCCACACGGAGCAGCTCCAGATAAGCAGGTCCGAGGTCACTGACCTGCGGCGCACCCTCCAGGGTCTTGAGATTGAGCTGCAGTCCCAGCTGAGCATGGTATGTGTCCCCCTGCTTCCCTGTGCAATGCACACTTATGCGCTTACAGCCTAGGGCAACCTGGCTGGTGGCTGTGCCCACGCCCTGTCTGGGAACCAGGCTCTGCTGAGTCACCCCCTCCCCCACCCTCAGAAAGCTGCTTTGGAAGACACACTGGCAGAAACCGAGGCGCGCTTTGGAGCCCAGCTGGCGCATATCCAGGCACTGATCAGTGGTGTTGAAGCCCAGCTGGGTGATGTGCGAGCTGATAGTGAGCGGCAGAATCAGGAGTACCAGCGGCTCATGGACATCAAGTCGCGGCTGGAGCAGGAGATTGCCACCTACCGCAGCCTGCTCGAGGGCCAGGAAGATCACTACAACAACCTGTCCGCCTCCAAGGTCCTCTGAGGCAGCAGGCTCTGGGAGCTTCTGCTGTCCTTCGGAGGGTGTCTCCTGGGTAAGGGGATGGGAAGGAAGGGACCCTTACCCCTGGCTCTTCCCCTGACCTTCCAATAAAATTTTATTGTCCAAGGGAGGAAGGATGTTCGATTTGTTATTTCAGCCCATGGAGAAATGGGTTAGGCCTTGGCCGTGTTTAGGTTTTATTTGAACCAAAGTTCACTGTGTCCCAGGAAAGCGGGGGGAGGATACTCATATACTTTGCCTGTAATGGTAATTCCTGTTTGCAGAAGCAGAAGGCTTCATTTATTCAACCTGTTCCTTAAAATAACCTTGTGAAATAAGCGTTGCTTCCTTTTTACAGAGGTAAACTAAGGCTCAGAGAGGTGAAGTGGTTTGTTCTATATGTAGCTACTCTAACGCATGGCAAAGGTGGGATTTGAAATTGTTTTTGCTTCCAGATTTAGTTTTCTTTCTACTCCCCGGGGGGTTGAGGTATCTGTGTGAAATTTATTGAACACATACTATGTGCCATTGAATAAAAAACAGCCCTAAAAGGTAGTGTGAGCTGCATGTTATAGATCAGGAAATAGGCTCAGAGAGGTTCAGTAACTTGTCCAAGGCCACACAGTGACTACATGGTAGAGCCAGAACTAGAACCTAAGTTACCTGATTCTTAGCCCATGGTGCCATCCCCAGCCAGGTGGTCTCCTGGAGTTGATGCCCCTGGTGCCCATCTTGCTGACATTCCAGTCTCGCTCCATAGGAAGGCTCAGGCTGGGGATCCCTAGGGGCAGTTCCTCCTGACACATTTCTCCACCTCACCGAAACGGGATTTGGGGCCAGGCATCCTGCTTGGAGCAAGGCTGGGGAGGCTGTACCTGTCAGTGTGTGTTGTGTGTGTGCATGCACTAACACATTCACCCATTTTTGGGGCAGCCCTGCATAAGCCCTTTAATGCCCACCAGCCCATACCTGGGCCCGGAGCCTGGAATGGGACCCAGCAGTGACCCAGACCTCCCAAAGAGACCCCCAACTTGGCTTGCCTGGGGCCTGCCCTGGGCCAGCAATAGAACGAAGTCCCAGCTTCCTGGTACAACTCTGCCCTTGGGTGGGTATGGCCCTGCTCCTGTGGTTTACAGTTCAGCTGCCAAGAACTGAGGCCAATTCAAGGTAAGGAAGAGGCCCCAAAAGAAGTCCCACTTCTTCCTGGTGGAGAGGTGAGGGCTGCAGGCCCAATCCTGTGAGTAACGGGGACAAGTGAGGGATACTAGTTCCACACCCCATGCTGCCAAATGTACTCAGCACCCTGCTAAGGAGACTGGAGACCCCATCATGGCCATGGCCTGAAGGAGGAGCTGTTTCCTCCATTTCCTGTGGGTCTCAGGTTGATTATGAACATGTAACCCCAGAGCCCCCCTGCTGTAGCCTGGACTGGGACCCCCTTCTGCCCCCTCCCCAGCTGTCCTGTTCTGGCCTCCAGCACCCACAAACCCCCACCCCCCACTTAACTTCTCAGGAAGCCTTGGAGCTAGAGGGAGAGGCCAGGCTGCACCCCCAGCTGGGACTGCCCAGAGGCACCTGTCCCTGCCCATGAAAGCCTCCCTTGTCACAGCTGAAACCTTCCCTCTGCCTCAGGGGCCCCTGGAATGTGGCTGTGGGGCGGGGTCTGGGCCCACATAGGTGGGGCAGGTGACTGTCAGGTCTCAGGCCCGAGTGTCAGGAATGAAGCCTTCCTTTGTGTGTGCACTGTGCGGGGTGGGGCTGGACTGGAGACCTGGGATAGGAGAGAGAGGGGAGTGGGGGAGTTGGGGGGAGCGCCTCTACCTCCTGGTCATTGTGGCCACTTCAGTCTGTTGAGCATTTCCTGTGAGTCATCTTGCTCCATCTGAGAGTCAGGCTGGGCTGGAGTTATTCCCATTTTCCTGATTGGTAGACTGAGGATCAGGGAGAGGAGGGTCATTACCCAAAGCCACCCACCTGGTAAACCGGAAAAGAGCGGTTTAAAGGTATGTCTCTGGGCTCCAGGTCACGCCCTCGGTCCGTGGCATTTCCCTGAGGAACAGGGGAGGTGTGGGAGGGTTCTAAGGTTGATGAAGACTTCCTTCTCTTTGTGCCCTCAAATGCTCACTATGGCCCTGAGGCTGGCGGAGTCTGTTAACAGCCCCAGTTTAAATCAGGAACCAGGCTCAGAGACGTTGATTCTCTTTCCACCGGGCTGCACTGCCTCATTCCAAGGAGAAACGGCTGACTCCACAGACGGCCCCATCTGGCTGCAGTGGGCAAAGATCAGAAACTGGCACAGCATCCTGGGCAGGCTGCCTGGGGCAGGGCCCGGGGCTACAGCCTGGGCTGGGGCCAGACAGAGCTTTATCCTCGCAAGGCCATCCCACCTGGGCTAATGAAGAGGCCCCGGGCCCCACCCAGATCTGGAGCCCACGGTAGCGGTTTGGACTGAAACCAGGGGTTTGTGTGTGAGCTGCCGCCCCTGGCCTGGGCCTGTGAGTGTAGAGAAAGCCACCTCGCGGGGCTGCTGGAGGAGAGTCAGGTGCAGAAGGGGATCTGGCTGGGGTCCAGCCCTTCCTCACCCCGGGGTGATGGGCCAGTAATTGTTCTTGTGTTAATTGCTGGGGCCACAATGTCTGCAGAGGCTTTTAATGAGCTCTGGATGATCTGAGTTTGATTATTTTTCTTTCGGAGGAAAAGACAATACCCTCCCACCATGAGACAATACCACACTGTGTGTGCCCAGCACTGGAGGCCAGGCTCACTGTGGAGCTGGGCGAGAAGGAACCCACCCCCAGCCTTGCTGGCTGGCAGTTCCCCTTGCCAGCCCAGCTCAGATGCAGGAATATGGGGTCTGCAGGAAAGACTCTTTTTCCCGTGCCCTGTTTGGTTGAGGGTGTGAGGACCTGTTTGAGTCCTGGCTTTGCCCCTTACCACTGCTGCCACCTGGCACAAGTTGCTTCACTTCTCCAAGTTTCAATTTCGTTCTTTCTGAATCTTGGGTGGGGGTCACCCTCTGTTGGGAGGATGAGAAGAGGCGATGGAAGCAAAAGTCCTTTGTGAATCACAAAGTGCAGGGTAGAAGTAAAGGATTATGCTATTACAGCAAAAGAAGAAGCTAAGAACACCCTGCGTTGCCCCACGGGCGCTGGCTATGGCAGAGCGATGCCGCTGAGCCGAAGAACATGCTGAGGCTCACAGGCCATGTTCTGATGCCCAATGACAAAGCCCCTCCTGGTGAGGGCACTCAGGCCCAGGTGCTGGTCATGCACCCTGGCCCTTGCATGTCTGGCACCTGGGTGGGGATCCAGGAGGAGGCAGGATGGTGACTGTTGGGCCGCACGGCTTCCCTGGAAGTGAGAGTTGAGAGTGCCCCCGCCACAGGGAAATGCAGACTTAAAAAGGTAAATGTCCACAGTCTTACCGTGGTAATTGGTAGAGTTAGGATTTGAACCCGGGCTTCACAGTCTTACCATGGTAATTGATAGAGCCAGGATTTAAACCCCAGGCCTGAGGGACTCCGGAGCCCTGTCCACTTCACCATGCTGCAACCTGGGCTAGGAATCCTCTTCCTGAGTTTCTGTAAGCCCTGGGGCCAGGTCCGGAGGGCCGGGCCACACCTCCAAGAGGCACTGCCCACAGGTGTCAGTTGTCCCTGGAAAGGTGTCCCTGAGCCGGTGGCAGAGAAAAGGGCTCTCCTGAGTGTTCAACTCCCCATCTTTGTGAAGTGATGCCTTGGTCTTCAAGATCTCCAGTGTCTTCCAGCCTGCCCGCCAATCTCCCATCTCTTCCCTTCCACAGCACTCAGGCACATAGAGCCTTCTGCAGCGGCCCCTCCCCAGCCAGCACTTGACAGGACAGATGGGGGCTAATCTGGCCCTGCTAAGCAGCAACATGCTGCTTGGAACTTGCCCCAGCCTTATCAGCGGAGGTCTGCCCCAACACATCCCAGAAGCGAGCAAAGGTTCAGCGCTATGCAGTTGGCAGGTGTCGGGATCATCAGTCATCCCCTTGTCAGCCCCGAGCCTGCTGGGCTTTTGTGAGGGTGCCAGGGACATAGGCTGGAGGCTGGCAGGAGGGGAGTAGAGGTGGGAGGAGGGGAGTCCATCTGCAGCACCAGGGAAGGGATGGATGCTGGCTCCTCTGGTCACCTCAGCTGGAACACTACTCAAGGTCCCTGGCTCCTGTCCTCCAACTGGGGGTCCTGCATTCCCATCCCCAGAGGCCTCCACTCCCCCTGAGCCCTGCAGTCTCTCACTCACTCACAGGGTTTTGAGTTGGATAACACAGTGTAATGATCAAGAAGTGGACTCCCAAACCGAGAACACGGAGCTGTCCCCTTGGGCAGAGGCTCAGGGCTCGGGGCAGTGGAGAAGTCCAGCTGAGGGCACAGTGGCTTGAGCTGCTCTCAGTTCAGCTAGAGGCTTTGGTAGCTGTGCTGTGATGAGAGTTCACTCCCTGCTGCTCTCTTCTGGCATGGAGAGATGAACCTGTAATCCAAGTGTTAAAACCGTGCCCCGGGGGAAAACACTATTAATTCTGAATCATCTCTTTTGTTGCATTAAAAAAAATAGAAGAGAAAAACTTCACACGAGCCACTCAAGGTGTGCAGGCAGCTGTGTTTGTCAGGAAGGCAGAAGGAGTTGGCTTTGCTTTGGGGGAGGAGACGAGGTCCCACAGCACCCTCTGAGGGGAATATAAGGAGCCCCAGAGTGCAGCCTGGCCTGGTACCTCCTGCCAGCGTCTCTTGGGTTTGCTGAGAACTCACGGGCTCCAGCTACCTGACGATGACCACCACATTTCTGCAAACTTCTTCCTCCACTTTTGGGGGTGGCTCTACCCGAGGGGGTTCCCTTCTGGCTGGGGGAGGTGGCTTTGGTGGGGGTAGTCTCTATGGGGGAGGTGGAAGCCGAAATATCTCAGCTTCTTCTGCTAGGTTTGTGTCTTCAGGGTCAGGAGGGGGCTACGGGGGTGGCATGAGGGTCTGTGGCTTTGGTGGAGGGGCTGGCAGTGCTTTTGGTGGAGGCTTTGGAGGGGGCATTGGTGGGGGTTTTGGTGGTGGCTTTGGTGGTGGCGATGGTGGTCTCCTCTCTGGCAATGAGAAAATTACCATGCAGAACCTCAATGACCGCCTGGCCTCCTACCTGGACAAGGTACGTGCCCTAGAAGAGGCCAATGCTGACCTGGAGGTGAAGATCCGTGACTGGTACCAGAAGCAGGCCCCGACCAGCCCGGAACGCGACTACAGCCAATACTTCAAGACCACTGAAGAGCTCCGGGACAAGGTGAGTCCTCAGATGTCAAAGAGAGGGGAGCAGGTGGCTGGTACCCTGTATGTGGCTCTAATGTCAGTGTTACTGCTGACTCGAGGAAATCCTTTCCTGCCCAGGCAACGACTGTCTGGTGTGTAACCTCAGCAAATTTGGAATGCACCTGCTGTCCAGGTGCAGAGGCTAGTGCACATCTTCTCAACTTGGTGGTGCTGGGGGAGGAAGGGAGGGGTCTTGGGAATCTGGTTAGGACCAACAGGGGCACAGGTGGGGGCAATTATAAAGAGCCAGGGGCAGTAGCTCACACCTGTAATCCCAGTGCTTTGGGGGGCCAAGGTGATAGGACTGCTCGTGTTCAGGAGTTAGAGGCTGCAGTGAGCTAATGACTGTGCCACTGTACTCCGGCCTAGGTGACAGAGTGAGAACCTGTATCTAATGGGAAAAAACAATAATTAAAAAAAAGAGCAGCTCGCCTTCCCTACCTCATGCACCCTGCAGGCTTCTGCATAAAGTACTCCTTCACCTCTTTGGCAAGAATGGGATTGGAGTGTGGCCTCATGAGTCCCAGATGCTAGAACCTCTTGTCTTTTCCTATAAAGAGGCCTTTTGTGCCAAAAGTACTGTTGGGTCTTAGGAGACCTGGGAACTCATTACACATTCTGTCACCCACTCACTCACCTTTTTACTCCCTGAGACTGGGTTCTTCATTTGTAAAAGGCCTTCTTTAGCTGCCCTCCAGGTTGCTACTGGCTGGAATGTTCTGTAGATCCATGGCTGTGTCCAAGATGTGCAGGAGGCAGTGACCATGAGCTGTCCACAGGGGGGCTGGTGGAGTGTCTCTGAGACGGCTATTGTCAGAGCTGACCACACCCCACTCCACCACTCTTCTGGGCAACCAATTCCCACAGGCAGTACTGCCTCCTTGGTCTTTCGTGCCCTGGAGACAAGGAGGGCAACTCCTCAGGTGTCTCAAGGAGGCTGGTATGGGACAAAACCAGAAGTGGACACTCAAGATGCGGCTGGACTCTGCCCACCCCAGAGGCCCTACAGATTTTTGTTGGTGTCAGAGGGGTGATTGTCAGTGAGGGGCTGGCCTTGGGTGCAGAGTGGAGAGCAGCAAGGGAGAGAGAGGAGTCCTCTAGGCACCAACTCTGTCTCCTGCAGATCACGGCCACCACCATCGACAACTCCCGGGTCATCCTGGAGATCGACAACGCCAGGCTGGCTGCAGACGACTTCAGGCTCAAGTGCGCTCCCCCCTCCCTCTCCTCTTCCTGCGTGGCCCACTTTACTTGGCCTTCTCCTGGGTCTGACTCAGGCAGCCAAGACCCCTCCCACTTCCTTCTTTGGCCTCCCTCTCTCTCCTCAGGTATGAGAACGAGCTGGCCCTGCGCCAGAGCGTCGAGGCTGACATCAACGGCCTGCGCCGAGTCCTGGATGAGCTGACCCTGGCCAAGACTGACCTGGAGATGCAGATCGAGGGCCTGAATGAGGAGCTGGCCTACCTGAAGAAGAACCACGAGGAGGTGAGAGCTGGCCCCCATCACCCTTGAACCTGAGAGAGGTGGGGAACTTCTTCCCAAAACGCACTTAAATTGCCCAGAGGGAAAGACAGCGGCTCCAGGAAGCCCTCCCAGATTTTCGCGAGATTAAGTCGGTGGGAGGCAGAGTGGGGCTGCTGGTACTTCCTCATCGTTGGCCTGGGGCTTAGTGGTTCAGAAACACCCCCAAACCCCAAAACCAGGTGTCCTCATGGAGAGGAAGGGGCACTGACCTGTGGTAGCCCAGACCCACAGCCGGGCCAGGTGGCCAGTACGAATGACTGACTTCCTCATTGGCTTTGTGAGCTCACATCAGGGCCCTACAGTCTCGGGGTCCTCCCTTTGGTAGGACCTAGAGCAGCAGAGAGCTCCTCAGAGTTGAGGGGTCCATGTGACCGAACGTCTTCATGTGCAATGGGGAACATCGGTTGGGGTGCGTTAGGGGCAGAGCCAGGATTGGCATGTGGGACCCCAGACTCAGGTTTCTCTTCTGCTCTCCGTCTCTAAATGGGCCCCTCCCACCCTGCAGGAGATGAAGGAGTTCGGCAGCCAGCTGGCCGGCCAGGTCAATGTGGAGATGGACGCAGCACCGGGCGTGGACCTGACCCGCGTGCTGGCAGAGATGAGGGAGCAGTACGAGGCCATGGCGGAGAAGAACCGCCGGGATGCTGAGGCCTGGTTCTTCAGCAAGGTGGGCCTGATCTCCTGCCCTGCCCTGCCTGCCCCAGCTCCCTGAGTCTCCGAGGAGGCCCCGGGACTCACTTCTCTTGTGCATGATCTGCAGACTGAGGAGCTGAACAAAGAGGTGGCCTCCAACACAGAAATGATCCAGACCAGCAAGACGGAGATCACAGACCTGAGACGCACGATGCAGGAGCTGGAGATAGAGCTTCAGTCCCAGCTCAGCATGGTACAGCCACCCTCGCCTCATCCCAGCCTCTCGGGTGGTAGAAGCTCCCACCCTTCCTGGCTAGTTAAGCCTTGGAGTTCTCAAGCCCCCTCAAGAGGTGGTTCCCTGAACTCCATTCAGTGCCCCCTCCCCGCTTGCCCTCAGTGGCTTCCTTTCTAGTCTGATGTGTCTATGCATCTGTCACTCCTCCAGAAAGCTGGGCTGGAGAACTCGCTGGCTGAGACAGAGTGCCGCTATGCCACGCAGCTGCAGCAGATCCAGGGGCTCATCGGTGGCCTGGAGGCCCAGCTGAGTGAGCTCCGATGCGAGATGGAGGCTCAGAACCAGGAGTACAAGATGCTGCTTGACATAAAGACGCGGCTGGAGCAGGAGATTGCCACCTACCGCAGCCTGCTGGAGGGCCAGGATGCCAAGTAGGCGCCTGGGCACCGGGGCAGGAGTGATGAGGGCTGCTTGTGGCTGCGGAGCATGGTCATCCTAAGGGAATGGCAGGATGTCCCTAAGCAGCCTTGAGGGGCTGTGAAAAGAGAACTGAGCAAGGAGGGAGGATCTGGACTCTGCACTCTGGTCCTTGGCTGTTACCTGGGGCAGGTCACTTCCTCTCTCTGGATCCATGTTTCTTCTGTAAATGATAGAGGCTGGGCTAGTGGTAGTGAAGATCTAGTGCTCATTCCATTCTCTGCATGAAATAGATGGGTATTCTTGTAGTTCACAATTTGGACAGGGCTCGGTGGCTCACACCTGTAATCCCAGCACTTTTGGGGGTCCGAGGTGGGTGGATCACTTGAGGTCAGGAGTTAGAGACCAGCATAGCCAATATGGTGAAACCCAATCTCTACTAAAAATACAAAAATTAGCCAGGCGTGGTGGCGGGTGCCTGTAATCCCAGCTACTGGGGAGGCTGAGGCACAAGAATCACTTGAACACGGGAGGCAGAGGTTTTAGTGAGCCGAGATCGTGCCATTGCACTCCAGCCTGGGCAACAGAGCAAGACTCCGTCTCAAAAACAAAACAAAACAAAACAAAAAACCCCCGAAAAACAAACAAAACAAAACAAAACAAAAAAAAGATTCTGTCTACTTGGGGGTAGCAGGCCTGGATGCGTTAGCAGGATGTCCCACCTCTAGAGGGGTCAGGTGTGTGGGTGGCGGTGGTGTAGGGTCTGAAGAGGACTGCATAGCATCTACATGAGCTTCCCTTAGAGACACCTGAGCTTGTGCCCTTTGCTTAAATCAGCTTCTTTCTTTCTTTCAGGATGGCTGACATTGGCATCAGGGAAGGTAGGAAGGGCCTCACTCCTCTGGTATGGGGTGGGGAGGGGAGATGTTGAAGCCACCACTCCCTTTGGAATAGGGAGGAAGGAAAAAGAGCCCAAACATCCCATTAGGTGGGAACATTCCCGTTCCATTAGATGCCTCTTCCCCGGTGGGACCTCCTGTCAGCCCCAGGTGAGATTGGGGCTGGTGATTTATTGAGAAACTTCCGGGTTGAGTAGGCTTCGTTCAGGGCCTGTCTCTCCCCAGGCCCCATCTTCATACACTTCCAATAAGATGCCCACAATTCATCCCCCTTCACGTGCAGCTTGAAAAGCCCTGACATTGTTGTCCCTGCTGGGCATACCTGCCATTGCCACTGCCTGTCTCTGTGATGAGCAATTCAACACCAGATCTCTGGCAGCTCTTGAGGGATTGGCCACTGGCCATTCTCAGGGCTGCTGTCTAGTTTTCCCAGAGCCTCGCCAAGGTCCTGGCCACCTTGGGAGAGAGGGGAGGTTCCCCCACTCTAAAGCCTGCTCCTTCTCTCTCTAGCCTCTTCTGGAGGTGGTGGTAGCAGCAGCAATTTCCGCATCAACGTAGAGGAGTCAGTGGATGGAAAGGTGGTTTCTTCCCGCAAGAGAGAAATCTAAGTGCCCATTGCAGGAGAAACATCCCTTGCCACTCCCCACTCTCATCAGGCCAAGTGGAGGACTGGCCAGGGGGCCTGAACGTGCAAACTCCAGTCCCCGCCTTCAGAGAGCTGAAAAGGGTCCCTCGGTCTTTTATTTCAGGGCTTTGCATGCGCTCTGTTCCCCCTCTACCTCTCCCCGCCTTCTTTAGAGCAAGGAGGTGCAGAAGCAGCTGCGTTGTGTAACAAGCTCATTTGTATGGTGTCTGTTCATGCAATAAAGAATTACTTTTCCTTTTGCAAATATCTCTTGGTAGTATATCCATTTTTTGTTGATGGGGTCCTGGTTGGCCTCTGACCTCTGAGGAGACCCAGGGTCCATGTGGTGACATCTCCCCCTACTTTGGTCTCTTCCCTGCATGGCCACAATTCTTCTGGGTACCCAGGGCACTGGTGGCTGGGGCAAACATAGTGCTACTCAGGTGATTTGCTCTTCTGGGTCACCATGGGGTGACCAGGGAAGTGAAGGTGGGAAGGTTCCCTAAGAACAGTTTGGTGTACCCAGCACAGAACTCGACACATCTTATAATTATGAATATTTACCAAGTGACTGATTGCATTGATTGCCTTGGTTCACCACCCCATGACTGGCATGATGCCACACACACTCACCCAGGGGGCTTATTTAATCCTCACCATTGTAGGTGGTCGGGATTTATTATTTCCACCTTAGAGATGAGGTCACTGGAGGCAGAGAGAAAAATGACTTGCCCCAGGCCTTGTGGATGGGTGATAAGCAGCAGGGCTGGGTCTAGGCCTATATCCATAGGATTCCAAGACCAGGGCTGGTTCTAGGACCCCAGGCCCTCTCACAGCCTGCTGCCAGGACCCTGCTGCTTGCTTCTGACCCTCACCACATGTGCTGCTCCAATCTCCCCTCCTTTCTAGCCAGGCATAACTGACCTCCAGAGTGGACAAGCCAGTTCCCAACTTGATCCCCCTGCAGGCTGTCCCCCATCCCCACTGAAGCTGATGCCTCCTCCCAAAAGGCACTTATATTGCCCAGAGGGAAAGACACCAGTTCCAGGAAGCCCTCCTAGATTTTCCCAAGATTAAGTTGAAAGCAACGTCAACCCCTCTTACCCTCCTTAATCCAAATCCTGCTCCGGCTCCCCATCCCTGGCAACTCCACCGCAGTCCTGCTAGAGCAGTAGCATCCATGCACACATTGTTTGTGGCCTCTGGTCTCAGGCTGTTTTCTTTGAGCTCTTGGATTTATCATCCCTAACAGAGGGCGAAAATGAGGAAGCAGAGAACTCTGGGTGCAGAGGCTGGGCTGACTCAGGCCCTGGGGTGAGGATTGGGGGTGGGGAGGGAGAACCGGTTTCTCGGTCTCACTGGGAAGAGCAGATTGGAGGTGCTTCTGTTCTTTGGAGAATCTGATATTTTGGGGGAAGGGTCAAGCCCTCTGAGAGGGTCCCCATGTGTCTTGTTGTGCAAAGCCCCTTCCCCACAAACCCTGGTTGGAGATAAAGTGGTGCCTGCTCTTTCCAGGGGAGATTTAATTAAGAATGTGCCTCCTGAGAACACACACAGGCGAGACTCCCCCGGGGCTGGAGGAAGGAAACGGAATTTAGCGAGTGTCTATGATATGTCAGGCCCTGGGTTGGGCATTCCGGGATGGCGCCTCATTAACTCTTAAAACAGCTCTTTAAGTTAGTATCAGTCTTCAGCGTCAGTTTCAGAAGAGGAAACTGAGGCCTGGAGAAGTTTAGTAACCTGAATGAGGTCACAAGCCAGGAAATGGTGAAGCTGGGTCTGGGACTGGTCGCTCTGATTCCAGACTCTCGCTTTGCCCTTTAAGTCGGGACGTGACAGAAGCTGCAACACTCTTCTTAAGAGGTATGCTAACTAAAAATCTAAAACCTGTCTTTTTTTTTTTTTCTTTTTTTTTTTTTTAAGAGGCCAAGTCTCGCTCTGTTGCCCAGGCTGGTCTCAGCTCCTGGCCTCAAGTGATCCTCCTACCTCAGCCTCCCGAGTAGCTGGGATTATAGGAGTGAACTGCTGCACCCGACAGAAACCCATTTCTTAACCTCTGCGGGCAGCATGCCAAATGCCATACAGTCATTAAGGTCAGAAAGATTGTCCTCACGCCTAACCATAGTCTCTCATGCTGTGGTTTAAGTTCACCCTGACACCCAAACCATTAGCTGCCAGATCCCCCACGTCCTGGGAACAGTCAGTCTCCTTCCCACCTCTCTTCGGTCCCTGGCAGTGGAAGCTGGTGGCCTGGTTGCTGCTTCTGCCTCACTGGCCTTCAGGCCTCTGTCAAGAGGTCTCAGGCCTTCCAAGCAGCCGGCAAAGGGTTTTCTCAGCCTTTAGTTTCCAAAACTAACAACCTCTGTGAAAGGTGCAGAGAGGCAAGGTGACTTCGCCTATGGGCTGCGTCCGGCGCGCCTTCTCTCTGGGCCAGACTCTGGCTTGGGGGTAGGAGGAAAATCTCCTATCTCCCTGAAGTACCTATTTCTGCTTTCCTGGGATGCCTGGAGGGGCTGTCAGAGAAATCCTTGGAACTTGCCAAGTCTCATCCCCAGCCTGACCCTGGAGTGAGACACCCGCATCCAGGGATGGCTCATGCCCTGCTGAGCCTTTAAGTAGTCTCTGGGCAGAAAGGGTGCACCTTCTGACTGCCCTGGGCTGAGGTCAGGCTTGGTTTCCAGCCAATCAGAGAAGCAGGCAGTGGGTGATGCCCCACCCTTCTTCCCACAGAGAGATGGCTGCTTTCCGACCAGAGATTAGGGCCTTGGGTGTGTCCTCTGCTCAGGCTGGGCTTCCTAGACCAGGCATAAGACTTGCTTGCCGCTATCTCCCTGAGGACTGCGGCTGGCCCCTGCCTCTCTCTGGGTTTCAGTTTCCCCATTTTTCACCTGGGAGTCTGGCTGGACAAGATGATCCTGAGGGTCTCTATGAGATGATCTGTGTCCTGGGACCTCGGAAGGGAGCCTGTGACAGCAGGGACTGTGTTTAGTGTCTTCACTGCTGAATTCTCAGTGCGAGTGCTAAACAAATACTCGTTTAATGCGTGAACTTGCTTCTCCTTTGCTTTTTCCTGCCTTAGACATTCATCAGTATCCTGGGCATGTGCCCACCTGTTGACCACCTGGTCACCTGTCCCTCCATGGGCAGCTGGCAGCACAGGGGGAAATAAGCAGCAGACAGCTTTTCTCCTGCAATTTTTTTTTTCTATTACTACCTGTGGCTCTCCTGAATTGGAGCCGGGGTGACCCCACTGGATACCACTCACCTTTGCCAATCCTCACCTAAAGCCAGGGGACAAAATATCCCTGAAACGGCATCTCAGACATTTATCCTGAGCTTTCCTGTGCCACGAGCAGGATTTGCGGGTATATTCAGCAAAGGTCCCATCTTCAGGGAACCTGATATGGCGTGGGAGAAATAAACTAGGAAATTCACCTCCTCCCATTTGCCTGCTTGCTGTGGGCGCCGTGCTGACTGTAGGGACCAGAAAGGGAAGGGAAGCAAAGTAATGTGTCCCTGCCCGGTGGGGCTCAGAGGAATCTTGACAGGTCACTGAGCAATGCTAACCTTGCATTTCCTCATTTGTAAAAGGGAGGCAGTAGCAACCTCCCGCCTGCCCAGCACCTCCCGTGTCTCAGGTCTTTGAGGAACCTGGAATATTAACTCATCCAGTACCCATTTTTCAGTGGTGACTACTGAGGCCCTGAGAGGTTGAGTGACTTTCCCAAGATTACACAGCGAGTCGGTGGCGGATGGAGGATTGAAACTCAGGTCTACCTTGTCCAAAGCCCTTGCTGAGCTCACTGGGTATCTGAGAAACCAGTGGTGGTGTAAAAAGGATTTTAAAAAGTTGGGTGCTGTAGAAATGCAAGAGCCTAAGGCATTGAGCTTCAGCCTTGAAAGACTTCTGAGTGGTGCTGTGCCCAGCAGGCATCTCTGAGGAGTGGGAGCTGCCCAGAGGGCCTGGGGTGACTCTCTGGGGAGGGGTTGCCTTTCAAGAGAGGACTCTTCCCTGTGGAGGAGACTTGAGACCCTTTTTGAGGTTGGTCAGTCGTCCTGGATTCTGGGTCCCTTGGAGTCCAAAGAGAGAGGTGCCTGATCCAAGCAAGGAATTCCAGATTAGAATCTGAGTGACAGGGTTGAAGCCTCACCTCTGCAGATAAACAATCTAATGACTGTGGACAAATCTTTGAGAATCAGAGACTCAGAAAGGCGACTTGCTGAAGGAAACTTAGAAATCATTTCAATGTAAGGCCCACGATGGGCTGGTGGTGCGGCTGGAAATTCATGCATTTTTCCCCTCTTATTCCTGAACCTCTTATTCCTGAATTCTGGGCCTTGGCATTCTGGGCCTCAGTTTCCCCACAGGTGACATGAGGGGGTTGGATGAGAAAGTTCCTACAACAGTTTTGTGCTGAATGAGCACTCCCACGGGCCCCCAAGCTTTGGAGCTCAGACCAGGAACAGACAGCAGGCAGGCCGCTCCATCAGGCCATCAGCTGCTCAGGCCTAGCTACGGCAGGAAGCAGGACGGTCCACCATCCTGGCCTGGATTGACAGGTTGGCCCGAGAAAGGGAAAGGCCGTAGAAGATACCCTTGCTTGGACGGCGATGGTGCCCCCACTGGCCTGAAAGGGGCCTACCATGGACACAATTGCACTTTCGAGTTTGGGAAACGTGTTTAACCTTGCTGGGCCTCAGCTTTCTCACCTGAGAAAAGGGTACAATAAAAACAGTAGAGTGGCTTTGAGGACCGAATGAGATTACGTCTGCGGAGTGTTTAACACAGGCTTCAATAAATGTTAGCTAGTGTTATTTTTATTATCTTTTAACATATATAGAATGAGAATATAGAAAAAAACCCTACTTTTTCCTATCTATACCTACACTCAACATAGAACAGTTCCGTGACCTCCCACCAAACCATCCTCTGAAACCAACTGGGTGTCCTAGAAGTCAATGCTATTCTGACACTAACTGTAGTTAGCATGGACCCCACAGATTAGGGGCTCAGTCCCACCAGGCTGCCCCCACAGCCAACTTCAGATGCCAATTGCAAAGAGTAGGTCCCCAGGTGACCCACAACTTCTGTCTGACTTGGCTATAAATCACCACAAGGGGTTGATGACCCGCTTCTCGGGTTCAATAATTTGGTAGCACAGCTCGCAGAACCCAGGAAAGCAGTGTACTTATTGTTGCCAATTTATGACAAAGGGTGTTTTAAAGGCTCAAAATGAACAGCCAGATGAAGAGATACACAAGGCGAG